AGGCAGTGTAAGTGGAGTGTTAGCGAGCATTGGCAGTTTGGGGTTGCCTATGTTGTGCATGCGTGTAAAAAAAAATCTCTGTCTTCTTGGGGTTAACGGAGAGGGATTATTTAGTACACCAGTTCTCAGTTATATTGAGTGCTTCCTGCATCCTCTCAAGGAGTACCTTGACGTACTTTCCTCGAATGAATCTCTGGGCTATATATCCCAGTTATATTAATTTTTTGATTTTCTGATTTAAATTTAGCAACCACAATTTTATCCGATACATAGTTCCATTTCTTGATATTTTGAGTTGTTCTTCTACAAATTGTTACTAATCTTAATTATTGCTAATGTATCCTACAAATCCTCCTCCTTCATTTAGGTTTCGGATCTGCAACAGGATCGACAAGCTACTCAATCCACCCTTCGAAAGCTGCGAGTGTAATTTGGGGTGGGATGATATCGCTAACCGAATCTTCAAAAATCATGTTGTTAAACTTAGTTGTATTTGCAGAAATATCCTACGGGAAAAGCTTCCGATAATTGAAAAAACGTTTATTTGCAATAAATAAACTCAACGAAGAAGTAAGGATACAATGTGATTTTGTGTGTTAATGCATTTTTTTATCTCTGACATTGAGAGCAAGATTTGAGATGTACTATTTAGTCATAGATGAATATTTTTGTTTATGAATTATCAAAAATATTTTGTTTTGAGTGAGTCATTTTCCCAAAGCGTTATGGTAACGTTGGGGTGTTTTTGGTTTACATTTCTTCATCTGTTGTGTACTATCTCTTCTATGTTCTTTTCATTCTTAGCCAGAAATAAAATAAGTTTGGCTATTTTGCAATTATTCTTATGTCCAGCTATATCCTTCTGTATGTATAATTTTTCTGGGGACTCTCTCTTCTGGCGTTCTAATTAGGCATTCATATCAGCGTAGGTGTTTGTGTTTCATTCACTAATGGTATTTGTTCTACATCATCTTTTATGGATGTGGTTTTAATTCTATACTGTTCTCTTTCGAAGTTCTCATTTATTTAAAACCAATCTTTTAGTTTTTTCCAGCAATCTTCCGGCATAATCTTCCCATTATGCGTTGTATTACCCCGTGATGATTCCTAGTCAGACATATTTGACCTGTTTCATATTCTGCATCCGGTGTGGAAATGTGTTCACCTACTTAATTGATGACCCTGATCTTATCCTTCTTTGCTCTGTCACTTCTTCTAAGTCATCTCCTCTCAATCACCTGTAGTTTGTTCTTTTTCGTCTTTATAAGTTAAGTACCGAAATCTCACATACAAATATTTTTGTTTGTTATTGTTAATAAATAGATTGTTCATGTCATATTAATGTCTTGTCGTCTTCTCTATCCTAGTCCTAATCTCCTTTTCAAATTTTCCGTGACTTTTTATTTCAACTCCTTGGTGTTTATACTCCTTTCTTGTTCGATATTCGTATTTTCTACTTTTTTCAACTCTCCTGCTCTCCTATCACCATAACTTTCTTTTTGTTCTTATTTATTTTCATTCCAAATTATTTCAATGCCAACTTCTATTTATCTAGATTGTCTTGTAATACCTTCTGTCCATCTGCCATAATAAATACATGGTCTGCGAAAGGTCCTTCTATAATTACCATAGGTTGCATATTCTTATGTCAAATCTGGAATTTATTTTCAATTTTGCATTTTTTTGATCATTTGATCATTTTTATTAATAGTTACTGCATTTACAGTGTTTTCACATATTTCTTGTATAATTCGTATTGTTTTACCTTCATTCCCCAGGTTTTTAGGATCCTCCGTAATTTTTCACGACGAAGGCTTTCTCTAAGGCAATGAATCCTACGTAAACCTTTTTATTTTACTGTTATCTCTTTTCCATTACCTTTTTTTGTACTAACTAAGTGTGAATATATGACTTTATATACTCCTGCGTGTTCTAAAACCACTTTGTGATTTATCTAGTTATTGTTAGCTTCATTTTTTTGTCAATGATTCGTTCTAGCATCTTTGCTTAGATGTGTTTAGAAACCTCTATAGTTGTTACAGCCTTTATGTCTCCTCTCATGAATTGGCACTATAATAGTGCCGTTTCTCAACCTTTTGAATTTTTTTCTTCTTATCAGATTTTATTCAATATATGCCAGAATATCTCCTTCTCCAGCTCTCCCATACATTTAATCATTTCTCCTGTTACTGTATATCTCCCGAGTACATATTTCACCGTTTCATAGTTCTTTCATAACGCAGTCCAATTATATTTAGTTCCATGAAATGTTCTTTCTGTATGTTCACAATACCTTCTTTAGCGATTAAGGTTTTTCTATTTTTATTCTTTGTTGTTCTCGCTTCATAATGTTTTTCTTTTTTGCATGATCTCAGTATTTAGTGAAAAAGTTTCTGGTTCTTTACAATAAGCTTCCATTTTTTCCCCCAATTCCTTCCAAGTTTGCCTTTTTGCCTCTGTTACCATTTCTTTTAATTTATTTATTTCTTTTTTATATATGTTTCATAACTCTTTTATTTTATTGCTTACGTAACTTTAGAATTCCTTAATATGTTTTTTCCTTACTATTCAGGGGAAAATTAAATTTTTATACGAGTGCACATCCCCACCTAGTAATAACATTGAAAAATGTTTCAAGTAAAATTATTGCTAATTTAATTCTAATTAAATATTATTTGAATTATTTTTTAATACAATCATCATTGAAATAACCTCAAAAATAATATTTTTTATATAAACGCCAGTGTCTACACCACTGAAAACTCAATTAAAACTATTTATTGAAAACTGCTATTAAAAGTTGACTTTTGCGTAGTACTTAGCGACCGTCAAAACGATAGTTTTTTGTCAACAGGACGTAATAGTATATTAAAAAACAAGTTTCGTAAGACACGCTTGAAATGCACGAATTCAAGTTGAAAAACGAGTGGCGAAGCCACGAGTTTTTTAATGAATGAGTGCTTTAAGTCTTATGAAACGTGTTTTTTATGCTATTTTTTGTAATTCGCGTTTTTATACTTTTTTTTAACAAAAATAAAGTAAATTTTGGCAATGTAGGGAAATAGGTATGTAGCAGTTGGTAACACCGGAACACTTGAAAATAGAAACTTTGAATTGACAATTAGAAACTGTCAAAACACAAAATATATTCACCTGAAAAAAATGTTTGATGTACACCTCCCAAAATAAGAGAAATTGCTCAGAGTCAATGTCCTCATCATTGTGGACCTTGTATTCGATGCTAAGAACGTGTTTAAACATCCATAGACAAAAATTGTCACATTGACAACTAGAAAAATTAATGACCCAATGTCACCAACTTGAACTGGTTCCATAAAATGTTACTAAAATCTCATTACAGCATCGGATGCTGTAAGGAGTCTCATTACAGCACCCGTTTGAGTACTGTTATAGCTTCCATTACCGTAGCGAATTACAAAAAATTATTTTACGTCCAGGACGCAAAAGACTTTTACGTCCAGCTACGACAATCAAAGAATTTGATACTATTAATTGTTAATTTATTGTTATGAACAAATTATAAACACAAAATAATCAACATTTAATTGTTTTATCATTTCATTTCATGTTTAAATGCAAATTTATAATAGTACATTTGTTCAATATGTGAGGTTAAATCGATGTGACGTTAAGTTTTTGACATAACATTAAATGAATTCTAAATGTCATTATCCTGAATTTGGTCTTTTTATTAATTTATAACTTTAGAATACGCAGTTTTCGAAAAAATGTTGTTTGATACACTACTGCGAAATGCTTTTGCATTCTCGAACGATTTTTTTTGCTCGCTAAAGCTCGCAAAAAAAACTTTCTTTCTCGAATGCAAAAGTGTCATTTCGCTATCTTGTATCAAAAATAACTATTTAAATCATATGGTGACCTTTTTGTAATTCGCTACGGTAATGGAAGCTATAAAAGTACTCAAACGGGTGCTGTAATGAGACTCCTTACAGTATCCGATGCTGTAATGAGATTTTAGTAACATTTTATGGAACCAGTTCACGTTGGTGACATTGGGTCATTAATTTTTCTAGTTGTCAATGTGACAATTTTTGTCTATGGATGTTTAAACACGTTTTTAGCATCGAATACAAAGTCCACAATGATGAGGACATTGACTCTGAGCAATTTCTCTTATTTTGGGAGGTGTACATCAAACATTTTTTTCAGGTGAATATATTTGGTGTTTTGACAGTTTCTAATTGTCAATTCAAAGTTTCTATTTTCAAGTGTTCCGGTGTTACCAACTGCTACATACCTATTTCCCTACATTGCCCAAATTTACTTTATTTTTGTTAAAAAAAAAGTATAAAAACGCGAATTACAAAAAATAGCATAAAAAACACGTTTCATAAGACTTAAAGCACTGATTCATTAAAAAACTCGTGGCTTCGCCACTCGTTTTTCAACTTGAATTCGTGCATTTCAAGCGTGTCTTACGAAACTTGTTTTTTAATATACTATTATACACCTTAAAGTGCTTTGATATGTTGTTTTCGAACTAAGTAATGAAACAATGCGGGGTAATTACGGCAAAGATGTAGATCTTTTTTTTTTGTCAAGTTAATACATTTGCTTAATACAATCGAGTTCGTTTTTCTACCAAATGCGACAACTTAAGTGTTAATTACTTATCAAAATATCCAACAACCTTAATAGCAATTTAATAACAGCTGTATTAACTATTTGCGTGTTACAATCAATTTATATCCTATTTTGTATCCAATTCATCGCAAATCGTATAATTCGCGAAATAAATAGGTGGGACTTTGTTATGATACTTTTTTGATGAACACGTTTTATATTACTATCGCATGTTTCGCATCAAATTACGAGAAAATAATTGGAATTACATAACATCCTCCGTCATTGATCGTTGAAAATCATTAAATTCCAGGAAGTTTTCAATCCATATTCTTATAACTACTTCCTTATCCGATAAAATCTTTCATTTTCACGAAAATTTTTGTCGTTGACAGATAAAATTTCCAATCGGACCTTCTTTTGGCATGATTCAAAAGATTCCGAAGAAAGTGCCAATCCTTTCCTAAGTCAGAACGAGGAATTCACAATAATGCATTCCAAAACTACCGCCGACACGAAAACCGTCACGTATAAACCGGCTGAAATTACGGTGGAAAGAGGCGGATGGGAAAATAAGTTGGATTTTTTGTTTTCTTGTATAAGTCTTTCGGTTGGGCTGGGAAATGTGTGGAGATTTCCGTATTTATGTTATAAAAATGGTGGAGGTATATTATTCAATAATATTATGTAAAATAATATGTTATTAAAATTAATTAATTAAATTCATTTTAGGTGCATTCCTAGTCACGTATACAATAGCAATGATTTTTTGCGGTATACCAATGTTTTATCAAGAAGTAGCTATAGGGCAATTCTTGGGTTCGGGTGGAATGACGTTTATCGGCCAATTAGTTCCGATTCTTAAAGGAGTTGGATATGCTACAATGACCATCGTTTTTTTGTTGGATATTTATTATTGTATTATCATAGCCTGGACTTTGTATTATTTAATATGTACTTTTGCATCGGTTCCTTATTTACCATGGTCTGACTGTGGTAATAATTAATGAGATTTCAATAACTTTAAAGAGATTTTACGACGTTTAACGTTTTAGATAACTGGTGGAATACTGAAAATTGTTCAACTGGTATAGCAAATAGAAGCCACGTGGAAATGGACCCCTTAAAGTATTTGAACTTGACTGCGAAAGTTACAACTCCCGTCGAGGAATTCTTTGAGTAAGTGCCACATTTACGTTTTATTTCTTTTTGTAGCCTACATAAGCAAACGTATTTTCGGCACGTTTAGCATTTGCGATATTGATCCGTTTTGTGTTTTGCAGCCATAAGGTTTTGGGCATATCCTCGGGGATTGAGGATGTTGGTGGGATGCAATGGCAATTGTTTACCTGTTTGGTTATAGGATGGATATTGATTTACTCTGTGATACGCAAAGGTCTACATCAAAGTGGAAAGGTAATCTTGTAACCTTAATTGAATAAAAATAAAATTCATCTCATTAAAAACACTGAGTGGAAAATAAAGTTTGCTGTTACCACTAAAAGTGTTTCAATAAATTAAATTCCCAACTGTATTCCTACATAGTTTCAGTTCGTACATTTTAAAGGTACTTACTACGAATGCATAATATCTGTTAGAGTATTCCCAAGGTTGCCCTTAACACTATTCGTATTACCGCTCTTATCCCTTGCATTTCCATTTTCGATATAACGGTGTTAGATAAAACGTGGTATTTATGTACTTTTTTTTAGATAATTTGGTTCACCGCGACGTTTCCTTATGTCGTCCTAGTCATATTACTTATTAAGTCGGTTTCGTTGGATGGTGCAACCCAAGGATTATTATACTATGTGACTCCTCGTTGGGAAGAATTGTTAACCCCTGGACCATGGATGGATGGTGCGACACAAATTTTCTTTGCCTATAGTATAGGATGTGGAGCCCTTCCAGCCCTTGGATCGTACAACAAATTTCACCACAATTGCTACAAGTAATTAATTTAGTAAATAGTTGAATAACTCTAACTCGATTGACAAAGAAAGGATTTTTTGAGATATGTTCCTTTCGATAAAGTTCTATTATTTGGAATAAACTTTCAAAAAAGCAGAGTTAGATACACAAAATCAAATGTGTGTTTATGGAAACTAAGAAACAATCTATGGCACTCTAATACTAGATTTAATTTGCTTTAATACATATTTTATCTCGTTCTAATATCTCAACTAATTTTATAAATACTACCTTTTTTATTTCCATCTTTTCGAGTAAATAGCCAAACAAGCAGAGTTGGATTCAAAAAATCATAATTTCAAGATTTATGAAAATTAAGAAATTATTTAAGGTTCATTAAAACTGGATTAAATTTGCTTTAAAGTGCATATTACCACGAGCTTTTACCTCCACTTCCCTCTTCTTGAAGAAATAACCAAACAATCACACTTTTATTCAATAAATCAAATTTCGAGGATCATGGCGATTAAGAAATAATTTAAGGCTATTTATTATTATTATTATTATTGCCGGGCTGAGGGCAGCGGCCCCTGTCGTCATCGCGACCAATAAGATCTATTGTAACTGTGGCTCTCCAAAAGTTTAGGGCAAATGTAGGTCCTTAATGAACCTTAGTATTGTAATGAGGTCTTGAACCTTTATGTTGGTAGGTAACAAGGGAGTTTTACCGAAAATGTTGTATCTTAGACAAGTTTGATCCTCAGCTTGTCCAATGTGGAAGAGGTGGTATTTTAGGGGCGCATGGCCGGTCAGGTAGCCTGAGAGCGTTCTTAGATCCCCTTTGCTGAGGCATAAAACCTCTTTGGTTTTGTTTTGCGACGGAGTTATCATACTCTTCGCTCTGGCAACTCAATTATACAGTCAGTATATGTTCAGCCGTTTCCGACTCGTTGTTGTAAAGTCGACAAGTTTGATCCTCAGCTTGTCCTCAACTCAGCTCAATGTGGAAGAGGTGGTATTTTAGAACCCCCTTTGCTGAGGCATAAAACCTCTTTGGTTTTGTTTTGCGATAGAGCTATCATACTTTTCGCTTGTTTGTGATGTGGAAGTTCTTTCCAGCGTAAGACTACCTTCGATTTCTTGATTACTTGTTTTAGGTGCTATTTTTTATAGTCCACAACCGGGTTGGTATCCAATGAAGGGCGTTTTCGCTGCCTCTTTGACCAGCTTGTCCGCCTTCTCATTGTCCTCAATGTCTCTGAGATCTAGAACCCACCATAGAGTAACAGCATTGCCCCTAGCAAGTTCTCTCAGGTTGCTGGTACCCTCTCTGATCAGTGCGGCGTCAAACGTGCAGGCCCTCAATTGCCTTTAGGGCGGCCCGACTATCTGTGAAAATGTTTATGGATGCACCTTTCTGTTCCTTTTGTAGGTTCAAAGCGGTGCGGAAGTTATTGCAAGAATTTTTGCTTTTTATTTGGTCCACTAATGTCCATGCCTTAGTGGTTCATACGAGACCAACGAGATAAGATTTTCATAAAGTCTTGTCTTGTCTCGCCGATGAACTAATAAGTCTTGTATCAAGTCTCATCTCGCAACCTCTACTCTCGTCTCTTAGACAAAGCGAAGCAAAGTAAACAAAGTGATGACGATGGCCGTCAACCGATAACGCTGATAGTGGTCTTTAAAAGTAATTCTTCACCCGTGCGACGATAGCAACAAACCTCCCAGCAACAAACTTTAACCCGTAATTTCCTATCTACTTGCTTAGCTGATATCTTCCTTATTATTAGAGATAGCGAAAAACTAAATGCACCAGTTGAAAGCTTGAATCTTTCTCTATATAAAACCTCTGTATAATTTGTCTGCCGATAAGATATTAGGATCTTATTGATATTAAGATCAACAAAAAATGAAGAACACCGCGCTGTACTTAAAATAGCTCAAAATTACCAAACTTCAAGGCCTTGTGGAATTGTTATAAAAGCTAATTTTAAAAAACTGTTATCACAGTCAGAAAGAGCGTTCCTTAAACTATCCTACTCCGGGTTTTTCTTCTGGTAAATATCTATCGGCGTCATGCTTAAATCACCCTTAATATACATCCCTATACGCAAAAACGCTTAAATACTCTTCCTCTAAACAACTTTCTTATATGACCAGGAGAAAACTCTAGAACCATATCTATCTTATCGAAAATTTCCTGCTCTTTCTAGCGGTGTATTACATCCGGCGATCACGCGCTTGCACAAGTACGTTATTGGTCAAAAACTGCTAAATTATCACGTTTTAGCCATTCTTAAACCCTGTTCGGGTCGATAACTTTCTTATATGACCAAGAGAAAACTCTAGAACGATATCTATCTTATCGAAAATTTTCTGCTCTTTCTAATGGTGTCTTTTAATAACAATTATACACTTTAATATACAGGGTGGTTAGAAATGTGCGTCAAATTTCCGTATCTCGAAAAGTTAATTTTTTTAAATGGCTACCCCACTTTTTTCCCTCACCAGCATATTATATGCTGAAAATCAGGAGTCTTTGTGATTACATCCTATACTAGCAGAGTTAGTAGTAGATATACCGGTACACAGACTTTTAACATTTTTATTGCGTAATATGAAAGAGGATTTTTTTTGAATCTAGTACAGTAGTTAATATTAATATTCGTTATATAAGAAAATGTTCGACTTTACAGTTTTACTACCTCAAATTTGTTGACATAACAAAAATAGCATTAGCCATAAGTAACCAAATATTTTAAACAATTTCCTAAGCGTCAAAACCTGATTTAGTAAGTAGCTGACCTCTTTAATACCACATATCCTGATCACCAACTCTTTAGCCAAAGTATTATGAGCCTAGCTGTGACTAAATTTAAAAAGCATGGGCATCTCTCGAAGCATATCTCGAAGTCTGACCGACCAAATGTTTCAAGGGAAATTCAACAAAACGAGGGTTTGGCTGGGCAAGAAAACCCTCATGTTTCTGTAAGGGGTATTGGGTCTAATTTCGACATTAGTAAATCAACGGTTCACAAAATTTTAAAACTTACAAAATATCATTCCTATAAAGTAAACCTCATTCATGAACAATGAATCGTTGTTTTTGCAACGATGACGTAGACTTTGTCAAAAACATAATTTTTTATATGTACATTGAGTGGAAAGTTAATTGACAAAATTGTCGGTATTGGGTTACCCAAATTCAAATTAGCCAAGAAAATCGCACACCCAATATCCGCAAAAGATTTGAGGAAACCTTAACTGGAAAGAGATGTTTAAATTTTTTAAAAACTATATCATTCCTTCCATCCCGCTAATTTTGACCCAACTCAATTCCAACGGTAGTTATTCCAACAGGATTCACACTTCAAGAAGCTACTAAATCAGTTTTTGACACTCAGGGAATTATTTAAAATAATTAGTTACCATAGTTACTTATGGCTACTGCTATTTTTATCATTTATGTATATTTGAAGTAATTAAGCAAAAGTAATTTTTCTCGAAAATTTTCTTATGTAACCAATATTAATACAGAATTTACTAGATTCAGAAAGAAATCTTCTTTCGTATTCCCTAATAAAAATGGGGGGAAAAATATCGATGACGTCACAACTCGTTAAACCGTTTAATGGACAAATTATTTTTTAACCCTTTAACGGGTAACTTATTTTTTCGTTTTTAGAAACGATTTAGTTATGGTAATGCAGCTATTTGACCTTATTGGCTAGTGGCCTCTATAAAAGACGCTAACCGTTAAAGGGTTAAAAATGGCACAACAAATTTGAAACATACACCAAAAAATTGCACAGAATTTAAATCTTTAGACCCATTTCAGGGATTTTTTCATAAACTGTTTATAATGATTTTGACACAAAAATCCACGTCAGTAGTTTTTGGCGCAAAACGTGTTTGTGCAAACGCGCGATCGCCGTGTGTCATATACCACTAGAAAGAGCAGGAAATTTTTGATAGGATAGATATGGTTTTAGAGTTTTCTCCTGGTCATATAAGAACAGGGTTTACGAATGGCTAAAACGTGTGAATTTAGCAGTTTTTGGCTAAAAACGTACTTGTGCAAGCCCGTGATCGCCGGGTGTTATACACCACTAGAAAGAGCAAGAAATTTTCGATAAGATAGATATGGTTCTAGAGTTTTTTCCTGATCATATAAGAAAGTTGTTTAGAGGAAGAGTATTTAAGTTTGTTGCTGGGAGGTTTGTTGCTATCATCGCACGGGTCAATTCTTGGTATTATACAATGAATAATTAGTGTTTTATACTTTTTAGTTGATTTTGAAAATATTATAAAAACGTGTTTTTTAAAAAGTTTTTTTTATTTATATTTTTATTAGGTTTTCAAGTTCGCACTTAGAAATATTTACCTCTCGTACGAGACGCAAGACTTCGTGCACGAGACGAGATCAATGAAAGACTCGTTTTGTCTTGTCCGAGTATCGTTTCGAGTCTCGTCTCGTTTTCGAGACGAGACTCGAATCATGCGAGATTCTCAAAAACTAGACTTTCGTATGCACCACTACCATGTCTATTCCAGATCCAACTGTCTTTGAAACATCTGTGTACCAGGCAACGGCTCCTCTTTTCAGTTGTGGCGCAAACTTCGTACAATCATTCTTGCTTCTAACTATGACCTTATACGGCTGGTCGAAATTATATTGTGTCGGAATAAGGTCCGTTTCAATTTCAATCAAGTGATTTAGACATGGGTCCTTGAGAATTTCGAGGTATCCTCTGAGGTTAACCTGCATCAGCTTGAGTGAACAGCATGTTTTCAATGATAATGGACTTGAAGCTGCCTCTCATTGCAGATCTTATTGCACCCGTTGTATTAAGATATGCTAACCGCTGGATTTGTGCCAGCTGTTGTTGTGCTGTCTTATGATTTGTTTTTGGCCATCAAATCAGTGAGGCATAGGCGACCAAGGGTATGATTATTGTTACGTTGACTCAATGAGCCTTTCGTGATTTAAGACCCTAGTTCCTTCCGAGGAGCGTGCGGCAGATCTGGTTAGCCATA